CATCTAATATCTCTTGTACTTGGACGTGAAGTTCAAAACATAATTCAGTGGATGAATTATTTTGCAGATATCTTCGTCTCAGTGTTAAATTATTTACTTTATAAACTAAATTTTTAATAAGATATGTGTCTAACAAACAACAGTTTTTTAAAGTTTTCGTTAAACCTCGAAATTTTTCAAAGAAAATCGTGAAAATCTGGAAAGCTCAAGGAAAATGTAAGTAAGTAAACATTAACTCTTCTAAATTATTGGCGCCCTCAAAGCTATGAAGCGCCCCATTTGGTAGGCGCCCCCCCCCCCCCCAAATGAAGAGGGCTGCGCACGCCTGTGCACGTAGCATATGGGATTAGAGCTAATTGGGGACAAACTCTCATGCCGATGCCACTCCAAAAATAAATGAATAGGTTATTTTTTAGCTAAAAATTAATAATTGTTACCCACATTCATCAGCGTTCCTTCGAGTAACTTATTGCGTTTTTGGGTAACAGTTGGTCATTTGTGCGTTAAAATCCATTACCCATCTATTGAACATTCAGAAAGAAAAAAAAAAGGAAATGTAGACTTCTTTCCATACTAAATCTAGCCTCGCCGTTTTCATTCATTCGATGCATAAAAGTGGAATAGTAATGGCTTGTATAAATAAGTAAATTCTTTGGTTTTTATTTAAATACTTTATGAACATGATTTTTAGCCAAAAACTAGTTCATCATGGAGAGAATTTACACTGCTATGCATACTTTTTAGTCAAATGTATTTTAAGAGTATTATAATGTTCATCGTGAGTTTTGTCATACATATAATTTATTTTAAAGATTTTAAAGTAGGAAGGAATGGGTAGTTTCCCATAGAACAAGCAGAATTGTTGGGTACCGTAAAACGGGGTAACTTTGGTAATTTTTAAAGAATATTATAAATATTTTTTACCACAACTAATGTTTGCAAAACAATTTTTTTTTTAACAAGTACTGAGGATCGAGAAACGAAGTGCTCAATTTTGCACCTTATTTTTATATAACATAATATCCATTTAGCTAATGCGATCGTACAAATCATGGGGTAGCTATATTATGGTCAACCAATACATTTTGCAGATAATTTCAGATGTTACCGAGAAAAAGCACTTCGGGCGATGATTTTTATTTATTTACTAATTCTTCACCAATCAAACGTCGACTATTTCAGTTATAATAAGTTTATAACGTCTGTTTTTTTATACCAACTTATCTGGCTCAACTCGAACATTTTTAGCATACTTTTGTTCATTGTCACGTCAATTGTTTCGCAATAATCGTTATAACAAAACATCATTTTATTGAACGTCCCATTTCTAGCAAAGTTCCTTCTTTGATTGTTGACATGAAAGAAATGTATGCTTCTTAGAGGACGAGTAGGAGCATAAATCTCTGTGGTGTTCACCCTTTGCACAATAACATCGTTTATCAAAAGCTATCATTGCAAGCTCTCTTCGCCTCTATATTAATTAACATACATCGCGATGGATGTTCCAGATCTTCCGGAGTACTGTCCCCTGGATCCCAGGGACAATGTTCTGCTCACATCTCCAAATTCATATTGATAAGACTTCCATACATAGTTTCAAAAAAATCTAATTCTAGAATCAGTTTCTTGAATTGACCACACTGTTCCAGATCATCCAGAGGTCCATTCTGTGATACCCAGGGTCCATATTCCAGTCACATCTCCAAAATAATTCTGAAAAGACGTCTATGAGTGGTTTTGAAAAAAACACAGAGTTCTAGAATCAATTTCATAAATTGATCACTTTTACGGATGCTCCGGAAATTTCGTAGCTGCTTATTGTGTCTATCGCTACCCATAACGAAAATGAATGCAAAGTAGATGAACATACGCTGTGGGTTGTTTTTATTTCTCGGCTTTCCACTTCACACTGCGTGCTGCTGCTATAGCGGGGAATGTTTGCGCATGATTTGGAAATCCAAAAAGTATGCTATGAACAGGGCTGGCAAATGTCATTTTCAATGAAAGATCTCACGCGATATTTACAGAGATACTTTTGTCACTATCATCGGATGAGAAAACGATGATAGAGATTTTCTTCAAAATATCATCGAATTTTGCGTCATGACAAAACGTGACAGTGTTGTGATCATCGTAATTACTAGCTCATTTATTGCTTTTAAAGTTACTTGTACCGAGAAAATCGTAATAATATATTCACTCTATCGATTACATACGGTTACTTGCGTGAATTAATCTAAATCAGTTAGAAATGTAGATGTTAAAACCGCAATAGAATTATTCTCATGAGTGCTTGATCATTGGAAAATGACGAGAAAGCTAATGATAGGTAGTGTCGTCTCGTGATAGTGAGAGGACCTGTTTTCTCATTCTCACATGACGGCCGTGATGTTTACCAGCTCTGGCTATGAACTTATTATTTGTGTTCTATAATTGGCATCATTGGATTGCTTTTACTCTTAGTAATTATTTGATATAAAAAAATATACATAGTTCCATATAAAAATTTCAAGCAATCGTGGGCGTAATATGATCATGTCCATTTAGCGCACCTATACAAGCATATTCACCGCACGGGATAAATGCGTGCACCAAGAAGCAGTTCATTTTTACAATGATTAGGGTGGGTCTGTGCAATTATGTTGGTTGAAACTATCGTTTCAAAGACAAATCAAACTGAATAGTAGGCATTGTTAGAAATTGAGGTAATAAGAAGTTATGGTAGGGTTCCAATGTTTAGCAATTATCCATGTTCTACCCCGTTTTATCATAGCACTATTATAACACCGTGCAGCTCTCTTTGATGTAGTAACATCAGTGCAGCTCTATTTGACGCGGTATGCCATATGGAGCTTTTGTTGTCAGGAACATGTAAACTAATAACTTTTAAACAATTCTTAAAAATTGAGGAATTTCAGGAAAATGCGAACAAATTCTGAGCATTCGATAAAATAAAATCGTCACCAGAAGGCAGGTCTAATTTTATGAAATGCCGCACAGTGGATTGCTCCGATGATTCATTTTGATCATTTTGGTCAATCTCGATAGGCTCATGAGTCGCCTCGTAAAGATGGTAGTATAGTGATGGCTAATTTTATGATAAATCTGGGATTTTTTGTATTGAATTAAAAGTACATTCTCTAATCCCAGTGAAAGTAATTGGGCAATATTATATTACTAAATTGTTCTTTTGGGAGTTGGCTATCGATGGATTGACATAAATATCCAAAAAATTGCCCTGGCCCGGTGTTGAAACTAGAAAACCAAAGTAATGTCGAGTACTTTTGACCATTTTTTTCAGTAAAAACACATTCCTGTAAAAACAAATAGATTTATCAGTATAGTTTGTTCCCAAAAAATGATCTCTAATCAGTTCCGGACAGACAAGTGGAAGAAAATCCCAAGAAAACTTGCTCAATTTCTAGAAATTAGTAAAACAGTTCTCCCGGGCGCCCCGCTTCCTTTGCCCTTAAACATCCATCTTGAAGATGAACGAGAAAGATTTGGAATTACGGTTATGTGAAATTATTGGAAAATTAAAGTCTCATGCGTCGAGGGGCTGATTAATTCGGCACATAGCTGTGTAGTTTTGTAGCTGTGGGATGGTCCATTAATTATGTCACGCAAATTTGGCCCATTTTCAACCCCCCTCACCCCTTTGTCACATTTTTTGTATGAACCTTAATTTTTTTTTGTATGGCTCGTCACAGTTTTCAAAACCCCCCTCCCCCCTAAATGTGTGACATAATTAATGGACGACCCCTGTGCAGTAGTGTAGTGAAAGGATGTATTTGCTAGCAAAAGCAACATCCAACGCACTGAGAAATCTCGCGTCACTTTTCAAATAGACCAATATATATTGATCGATTCTCTTCATCGACTCGCTCATCGGCATTGGAAATCGATGAAGAGAATTTATGATTCTGAACGCTATAAACATTGCTTTGTACAAGAGAGAAAACGTTAACTCACATTTGATGCATACGGTCCATGCAACAACTTCAAGTGACGTGACATACGCTTGAGCATTCGTAGTAGTACTAGCAGCACGTACATCGCAAGGGGTGTCCATGCCACAGCAAGTCGAAATTTAAAGAAGACTAGCTATCGTACCACTGTCATTCATGTCTTGACCACCCAAGTTTCGCTTCAATGATTTTTTTTCAAATTTTTAGTTGAAAAGCAAATCAGTTCAGTTTGATTTCTCTTCATCTTTCATTCAACAAAAAAAAATCACAGATCCAAGAAAAACCGAGGAAAGATATTTCGAAACATTTTCTCACCACACCACAGTCTTTGCATTTGTACCATCACTTGAAACGATTGCACAGTGTGCTCACTAAACCACTCGAGAGCCGGAATAATTATGGCACACTGAGATCAGGGTGCAATGTTTGACAAATTGTTGCCAAAAACATCAACGATTATCATCAGGGCAGGTTACCTTAAATATCATTCTTAGTGTTTTCAGCATTCAAGAATATTACTTTTAACAATTTTTAACGATAAATTAACACCGTGTTGATTTCTTCTATCGCCGACATGAGCTAGTAGCAGTAGGTAATTGAATCAACCGTACTCAACCAAAGCAAATCCCATTCATTCAAACGGTGCATAGCATATGTACACACTGAAAAAGCCGCAAACAACTCACACAGCTTTAAATCCTCACCGAGGAGTTTGACGTTAACTATTCGCAGTTTCGATCGCACTAAACCATCTCACTCTACCGACAACGTGTGTGTTAGGTGAGCGAATCATTGAAGCCGACTTTAGACGCGACAAGTGATTGTAATTCAACTTACCTCAGAACTGGCAGTCGGCGTTCAATTGACTTGAGATCGACTAGAGCAAGTCCGACATCGACCAACATTGTCGACGTCTAATTTGCACCTCAAGTAGGTTGAACACGGAATTGAATCATCTAAACCGGGCTTAATGGCTGGCAAAATCCAAATCGAAGATGTGCTGTTGCTGTTACTGTAATGTCTGTCAGTGGTGTCTGACGAGACTGACGGTCGGATGTGTTGCAGTCGTTTTGCTGGCTACATTTTTGTTGCGCTGTTAGTGCCGCGGTCGTCGGTAGCGCAAATTATCCAACATTCTACGATTGTGAGAAATAAAATTTGACCCCTCGCAGTAGCAGCGAATGCGACGATAATGTTGATAAACAGACAAAATAAGTTAATCGAGTGAAAAATTATCCCCCACTACAATGCCGCGCGGGTTGTGCTGCTAGATCGGGGTAGATTTTTGTGGGTCAACGTAAGCCGTGTGCAGTGTACCAGGCGCGTCAAGAGAAGTGTCAGTGGAAGCCAAGTGAGATGCACTGTTTTGTGCGTGTTATTGTCATTTCCGACCCTGCCGAGTGAACGGGTGGCTGTTTTCAATCGGAATTATTTACATCTTGAATGGTTTGCAGCGTTTGCAGTGCGTGCTAATAGTAATATTATGTGATTTCATTCGTGCTGCGTAATGTCACAGTGCTGGTAAATGGTGGTCACCAATTAGTGGGAAAAGAAAGTGTAGGGAACGAAAATGTATGCAAGAAAGTCGCCGTACAATCGTGTAGTAGCAGTTTCACAACAACTACTGTGAACTGTAGTGAATATGTAATTAGCAAACGAAGAGGTGAAGCCAATTGATAAACAAATCCAAGTCAACAAACACGTGACATGAGAGTGTGTCAACCGGGTAAAGGTGATTCATATGAGTGGTATTGTTTGTGAATTAACGGACTTAACTGTATTGTTTTCGTAGCGTCACGATATTGGGTACATATTTTAGTTCAGTGGTACTCATGCGAGTGCTACACTGGTACGCAGACCGTTTATCATTATCATTAATTTTTCATCGTTATCGATTGGTTTGATTAGAATGGACTTTCTATATTTGAAAAGAAAGAAGTATCACTTGTCAATGGCTACATATGTGTGTGCTTCAACCATGTCGGCTCAAGCAAACCCCACACGTATCGATACATTGACGCGAAGGGGAATTATTGACAATAATATTGATGATGTGAATAGAGAAATATTTTCAATATCGATGTAGTGACGCCAATATAGAATGAATGGACAAAATGAATATTGTCATTAAAAGCAATCATGTAGTGTCTACTTCATACGGACAATGTTTCCCACGTCAATCTAAACGTGCGGTGTTATTATTGGTGCGCAGTGGGTTGAAATTAGTTTTTTTTTTTAAACAAAATATCTCACAAAGTATCGATTTTGTAGCTTTGGGATGCCATACACAGATAAAAAAAAAGTAAGAGGTTGTATCCAAGGTACGACCGTAGATTTGACGTAGGATTACGAAAGGTAGTTTTGATGTCACAGCAAAAGTATAGTAAATATTAAATTGATTTCTTAACTCGTTATCAGTGAAAAAGTTCGATAGGTTGAAATTCGGAAGCAATTTGAGAGTTCTGTTTTTAACGTACTCAGTCGGTATCCATCCTGCATGATTTGTCTTGGATACAAGCTCTTACTTGAACTCTTTAGTTAACTCTATTATCAGTCATTTGTGGTCCTGAAAAGGGCCGATGGGTTTTGAAGCTTGGAAGCCCGTTTAGAACAATGCTGTGGAATTTTTTCCTCGATATTCTAGAGATAATAGCGGTGCGGAAATGAAATATTTATTAAAGAAAACACATCAATCACAGAATCTGATCATTCCGGACGGTACCTACGTTTATTTAAAGATAATTCGGCAAGAATATTTTTTATGGGACGAGCTTAAAATTTGCAAAATATTAAAAGACATAAAGATAGGTACCGTATGGCATGCTCAGTGCTCGGCGACTGTGTTAGGGAAACCACTTTTCCCATCACAGAACCGCCTCATTTTCTGATGACAAAATTACGCATTTTCGTGCACAAAACGCACGGAATTTTTGGCTTATTCAATAACTAAAAAACGCGAAAATTAATTGGAGGAATTTCTTGCTAGATATTCGCGATCAATCATATAATTTTTTTTTCTAGCGTCCTTGAGAAAACCTTACCTTAATTCGAAGTGTTTCTGGTAAATTGACATGGTCATGTGGTATTTGGTCATTGTGGAAATTTGTATGTACCACTTGAATACTGGACGCATTTGACCACAAACGTTTTTTTGCTGGGTACATTATCAAAGAGCTTTGGGAGTGATGTGGCTGGCAGCAGGGCATGTGTTCAACACGGATGAAGCTGATGAGCTGTATGTTGTTTGGAACGAGGGTGAGGCGCTTGGCTTAGATGGCCCACAGCGGCTCACGACGAGCAGCTGAATCCGATCAGCGGTTGAGGGCAGCCTTTCGTTGTGTATTAGGGAACACCTCCACACGCTGTGATTGAATAAACACCGTTCGGTGTGACCGGATGGAATTCAATTTAGAAATCTGTGTTAGGGAAAGCGCTTTTCGCAAGCAATCGGTTAAAATTTTAAGTGCCGTATTTTTTAATAATATCTTTATTTTTACAGGCTCAATCAAATAAACTTTACAGAGCCGAGTTATCATTTTCGTTATACGTTATTACTGTCTTATATTTAAAGTTAAAGGAACTGGACCGAATACTCGTGGTTGTCTCGAGGTTAATGGAGATTTACAACGATTCTCCTTTGACGTCCATTTTTGCTAGAGCCCGAATACACATCTACAAGGCTTTCACGGGATGGATTCACTGTCATAAGTGATGCGACCGGTTAAAGCAGATTTTGTTTTTATTAAATCTATTGGGACAATATTAGGCATAGTAACAAAGGAAAATGATGGACCTCCTCATTCCTCGTTGACGTCTCAAGACTGAACTTTATTTGATATGTATAAGAAATCCGATTCTGAAATTCATCCAAGTTTGATCATTATTAAAAATCTCGTGAATTATTCATAAACAGATCAGAGTTACATTTATGTTCCTTCATATGCGAAGTTTGCGACTTTCGGAATTGGTTGGAAATGCTATCTAAAAGCTTCATGCTTTAGTGTAATAATTTATTAGCTAGAGAATGGTCTTCGAAGAGGGTAGGTAGATAGTTCCGTTATGCTGGGTTTAGACTAGGCAAGTCAAATGATCAACTCAGTTGAATTCAATTGGCTTGAAAAGTTGAGCCTGGTTCAAATTTTTTCAATTCAAGTGAGTTGATCAAGTCAGTTGAATGACATGGTTTACACGTTCAATTCGCGTTCAAGTCAGTTGAATTCAACTGACTTGAACAATTGACTTGCCCTGTCTAAACCCAGCTTTAGAGTACGGCAGCATGAAAATGAGCGAAGGGGCATAAATGCGACAGTGCAAGACAAGCGCACACTTTTTCCTAACCCAAACGATGTACGCGGTGATTTGAAGTAAGCATTTCCAACCAACTCTGAAGATCAGAGTTGTTAATCGATAAAAGTCGATAATGTCTGCATTAATCTTTGCGTGCCTAACGTCTAAATTAGCATAGATTTCAAAATTCAATTAGCTCTAAAAACATAATTTCTCAATCTTTTTCTTCACAACAAATTGCATTTTGTGGGGAATCTATTGAAGTTTTTGAATCCATCTGAAAATATTTGGATCAATACATGGTTCCGAAATTATTCCGGTTCCCTTTGGGGTCACTTTTGGACGACATTCGGCTTTACTATTCTGTAATCAGTATACACACGATGAACATCATGTTTTTTCTCACAAACGATGTAATTGGACCAATAACAGCTATACCGACGGTCCACATTGGGCATCCCGGAAATGTTCTGGTGCCCTCTGGAAAGTGGTCAATGCTCAACAAGAACCAAAACCCATCGTGCGACATATCAAACTTCATGATTTGACAAATCTTGGCCAGTAATGGTCTTATTGAGAGTCCATGGTCACACTAGCCCTCCCAGACATGTTCTGGTGCCCCCTGGAAAGTGGCCAATTCTCAAAAAGAACCAAAACCCATCGTGCGACATATAAAAATTCATGATTAGATAAATTTTGGCCGGTAATGGCCTTATTGAGAGTTCATGGTCACACTAGCCCTCCCGGGAATGTTCTGGTGCCCCCGGAGAAGTGGCCAATTCTCAACAAGAACCAAAACCCATTATGCAACATATCAAACTTCATGATTTTACAAACCTTGACCGGTAATGGCCTTATTGAGAGTTCATGGTCACACTAGCCCTCCCAGACATGTTCCGGTGCCCCCGGAGAAGTGGCCAATTCTCAACAAGAACCAAAACCCATCGTGCGACATATCAAAATTCATGATTTTCCAAATTTTGGCCGGTAATGGCCTTAATGAGGCTCAAAGGTCACACTAGCCCTCTCGGGCATGTTCCGGTGTCCCCGAGAAAGTAGCCGATTCTCCACAAGAACCAAAACACGTCATGCGACATATCAAACTTTATGATGCTGCTGAACTCGGCCAGTAATGGTCTTTTTGAGAGCCCACGATCCCATTGGCCCTCCCTGGCATGTTCCGGTGTCCCCGGGTATATTTTCAATTATCGACAAGAACCAAAATCCGTCGTGCGACATATCAAACTTTATGATTTTGCACGGCCAATAATGGTCTTAGGCAGTCCACAGTCCCATTAAATTGGCCCTTCCAGACATGTTCCACTGCCCCCAGGAATACCTACCCCCACCCCCTCTGGGTAGATATCCAACTCCCAATAAGAACCAGAACCCCTCGTGTGACATATCAAACTTCATTATTTTACGAAACTCCGTCCGTAATGACCATATTAAGAGTTCAAGTTTGCTAACCCAGACACGATCCGATATTCCCAGGAATGCTGTTGAATTTAGAACTTCATCAGGAATTGCTTCCATTCTCATTCGGGATTTTTTTTAAATTAAAAAGCGTGATTTCTTTTGGAATTTAATTCGTGATTCTTTTGTAATCCCAGCCAGGATCCTTTTGTAAATGTATCCAAGATTCTTCTGAGATTTTCCTATAGATCAATCCTGGTCAAGAATCCTATGTAGAATTCGACAAGAATCTTATCTAAAATCCAATACAGGATTCTTTTGGACTATAAGATACTGATACTGAAAATAAAGTGTTTTTTGTGCTGTACCTTAGGACTATAGCTTGACGATGTGTTGTATAGTGAACAAGAATCCTCGGCTCTGAAAAATAAACTCGATTGAGCCTTATCAAATTAATTAATAAACACATAAAAGAAGATGAATTCCGTCACGTGTAAAAGTAGTTATTTCTAAGTGTGTAGATAAGATGCCATAAGAATCCTGGAAAGGGTTCTAGAAGAATCTTGGATGGGATTCTAGAAGAATCCGGATAGGATTTAAAAAAGTCCTGGTTGGGATTCTAGAAGAATTCTGGTTGGGGTTCTTCAACCAGGATTCTTCTAGAATCCCAACCAGGATTCTTCCAGAATCCCATCTAAGATTCTTCTAGAACCCTTTCCGGGATTCTTATGGCATCTTATCCACACACTTAGAAATAACTAATTTTACACGTGACGGAATTCATCTTTGACGTAAACGATGAGACGTAAACAAACATTTCATGTAAAACTAAGTGCTCCGAGACTAAAAAGTTCGTTACTCGACGAGAAGTACATTTGAATGATCTGAATTTTGCGTCTGTTATGACTAAATTTTATGTCAATATTGACGCTCGTATATGTCAGTCTCAGAGCACCTAAATTTACATGAATTTTTCTTAGTGTGTAGGACTCTATTAGAATCTTATCCAGGATTCTTCTGGAATTTTGTGATCACATTAAAATTC